AGTCCATTCACACTGCAGGTTGACTCCCGTGTCATTACCTCCCATGGCCACTAGTCCATTCGTACTGTAGGCTGACTCCACTGTCATTACCTCCTGTGGCCACTAGTCCATTCATACTGCAGGCTGACTCCTCTGCCGTTACCTCCCCTGGCCACTAGTCCATTCGCACTGCAGGCTGACTCCCCTGTCATTAACTCCCGTGGCCACTAGTCCATTCGCACTGCAGGCTGACTCCCTGTCGTTACCTCCCGTGGCCACTAGTCCATTCGCACTGCAGGCTGACTCACCTGTCATTACCTCCCGTGGCCACTAGTACATTCGCCCTGCAGGCTGACTCCCCTGTCGGTACCTCCCGTGGCCACTATTCCATTCGTACTGTAGGCTGACTCCACTGCCATTACCTCCTGTGGCCACTAGTCCATTCACACTGCAGGCTGACTCCCCTGTCATTACCTCCCGTGGCCACTAGTCCATTCATACTGCAGGCTGACTCCTCTGTCGTTACCTCCTGTGGCCACTTGTCCATTCATACTGTAGGCTGACTCCACTGTCGTTACCTCCTGTGGCCACTAGTCCATTCGTACTGTAGGCTGACTCCACTGTCATTGCCTCCCGTGGCCACTAGTCCATTCACACTGCAGGCCTACTCTCCTGTAATGACCTCCCGTGGCCACTAGTCCATTCGCACTGCAGGTTGACTCCCCTGTCGTTACCTCCCGTGGCCACTAGTCCATCCGCACTGCAGGCTGACTCCCCTGTCATTACCTTCCGTGGCCACTAGTCCATTCGCACTGCAGGCTGACTCCCCTGTCATTACCTTCCGTGGCCACTAGTCCATTCGCACTGCAGGCTGACTCCCCTGTCGGTACCTCCCGTGCCCACTAGTCCACTCACACCGTTGGTTGACTCTACTGGCATTACAAACCTTCTCTCGCGTAGATTCAGACAAGAGACCCCTCGATTAAAATGAAGACCCGTCGATTCACGCACAGAGCCCAAGACTCCCACAGAGATCCATAGACTCTCACACAGAGACCGAAAGACTCGTGTCGACTCACACGTGGATAAACAGACTCACACACAGACACAGACTCACACGTGGATACCCACACTCCCGTAGATTAGGTGACTCATACAGATACACAGACTGGAAGATTGTTGCTGTTTTTTCCTGGATTTTTCTGTTTGCACAAAGTCACTTGAAGATGTTTTCTTGTTCATGTTTTTGTTTTTTGTTTGTTGTGGTTGCACCCGATTCAAGAGCCGAATGGCTCACAGGGCTATACCAAATACAGCAAAACCTGGGATTGCGAGTAACTTGGTCTGCGAGTGTTTTGCAAGACGAGCAAAATTTTTAAATTCATATTAATTTGATAAACGAGCGATGGTTTTGCAATACGAGTAGTACGTATACGCTTTGTCTGCCAAGCGTCACGTGATCAACTGATATACGAGTGCTTTGATATACGAGTGCTTTGGATTACAAACACGTTTCCGGAACGAATTATGCTCAATCCAAGGTTTTACTGTAAATTAAACTTAAACACGTGGATACAATCACTCACAATCACGTAAACTGACTCACACAGATACACTGACTCATACGTGGATTAAATGACTCACAGAGACCGATGCACTTCCATTCCCTGTTGTGAGGTCACGGCCACCAACAGTGACGATTATCTGAGTCGGTCCTGGGCCTCCCCTAGGTCGACTCAGCCTCAAATGAGTAGCTGGTGCGGTGCGTAAACATCGCCACCGGTGAGACAAATGCGGCCAGGAGTGGTGCTGGCCACCCACCCCCCCTCGTGTGCCGTGTTGGCCTTCATAGGTGCTCGCCAACAGCACTTGCCCCAACAGCCTGTTAAGGCTATACGGGGGGACCTTTGCCTTTGTGTATGCGGTGTGGCGTATGCGAGGATGGGTGCACACGTGTTGTATGTGCGATTGTGTGGCGCATCATGTATGTTCTACGGTGTTGGAAATGAATATGATGATGTAATGACGATGTGATGGCGATGTGCTGATGATGCGATGAAAAAAATTATGATGCGGTGATGTGATCGCGATGTGATGATGATGATGTGTATCGTGCGATGACGATATGATGATGTGATGATTGCGTGATGATGTGGATGGTATGATGATGCTGTAATGATGCGGGTGGTGTAATGATGTGGTGATGATGATGTGCATGGTGTGATCATGATGATGTGGTGATGATGGCGTGATGATGATGCGGATGGTGTGATGATGATGCTGTGATAATGGCGTGATTATGATGCGGATGGTTGGTGTGATGATGATGCTGTGATGAAGGCGTGGTGATGATGTGGATGGTGTGATGATGATGCTGTGATGATGGCGTGGTGATGATGTGGATGGTTTGATGATGATGATGTGATGATGGCGTGATGATGATGTGGATGGTGTGATGATGATGATGATGCTGTGATAATGGCGTAATGATGATGTGGATGGTGTGATGATGATGATGCTGTGATTATGGCGTGGTGATGATGTGGATGGTGTGATGATGATGCTGTGATGATGGCGTGGTGATGATGTGGATGGTGTGATGATGATGATGCTGTGATGATGGCGTGGTGATGATGTGGATGGTGTGATGATGATGATGCTGTGATGATGGCGTGGTGATGATGTGGATGGTGTGATGATGATGCTGTGATGATGGCGTGGTGATGATGTGGATGGTGTGATGATGATGCTGCTGTGATGATGGCGTGGTGATGATGTGGATGGTGTGATGATGATGATGATGCTGTAATGATGGCGTGATGATGATGTGGATGGTGTGATGATGATGATGCTGTGATGATGGCGTGGTGATGATGTGGATGGTGTGATGATGATGATGCTGTGATGATGGCGTGGTGATGATGTGGATGGTGTGATGATGATGATGCTGTGATTATGGCGTGGTGATGATGTGGATGGTGTGATGATGATGATGCTGTGATGATGGCGTGGTGATGATGTGGATGGTGTGATGATGATGATGATGATGCTGTGATGATGGCGTGGTGATGATGTGGATGGTGTGATGATGATGATGATGCTGTGATGATGGCGTGGTGATGATGTGGATGGTGTTATGCTGATGCTATACGAGGGATCTTTGTCTTTGCGTGTGACGCAGATGTTGAGAAGCGATGGTGCAGCGGCGAGCCGGGTTCGATTCACGGCCAACACCAGCGACGATCATCTGAACTGGTCCTGGGCCTCCCCTAGGTAGACTCAGCCTCAAATTGACACCTGCTGCGATGTGTACACATCGCCTCTAGGGAGACGAAGGCGGCCGGGCGTGGTGCTGGTCATTCCCCCCCCCCCTCGTGTGCAGTGCCGGCCTTCATATGTGCTCGCTTACAGCACTTGACCCAAAGGGTCTGTTCGGGCTATACGGGGGTCCTTTGTCTTTGCGTCTGACGCAGATGCGGTGGTGCAGCAGCGACCCGGGTATCTGTGCGAGTCTGTCGAGATGACCTGAAGCGGTCCTGCGCACTTCTCGCCGGATCGACTCAGCCTTAAATGAGCAGCATCCTGGCGCGGTGCGTTAAACATCGACACTGGCGAGACGAGAGGGGAGCCGGGCTCACGGCCAGCGTAGGGTGCTGCTCGCGAACGGTGTTAGCATCAACAGCCTGTCACGGGCGACATGGGGATGCGTTGATTTGTATGACGCAGAGGTGGAAACGTGGCGTGTTTACAAAGGGCAACCCACAGCCACTGCACACCGCACTCACCACAATCACTCTACTCACCGCACTCACCCCACTCACCCCACTCACTCTACTCACCCCACTCACCCCACTCACTCTACTCACCCCACTCACCCCACTCACTCTACTCACCCCACTCTCCCCACTCACCGCACTCACCCCACTCACTCTACTCACCCCACTCACCGCACTCACCACACTCACCCCACTCACCCTACTCACCGCACTCACCCCACTCACTCCACTCACCCCACTCGCCCTAATCACCACACTCACCCCAAAGACAAACATCCTCCGTGTAGCCTGAACAGATTGTAGGGGCAAGTGCTGTTAGCACGGTAGCACACGAGGGGGTGGGTGGCCAGCACCACGCCCGGCCGCCTTTGTCTCCCCGTCGGCGATGTTTACACACCGCACAAGGTACTAATTTGAGGCTGAGTCGACCTAGAGGAGGCCCAGGACCCGCTTCAGATAATCGTCACTGCGCTGTCGGCCGTGGGCGGGAATCCAACTCGGGTCGCCGGGGATCGTAGCGCAGCGCGAGCTAACCGCTCACACCACCACACCGTACCACACCACCACACCACCACACCACCACACCGCACCACACCACCACACCGTACCACACCACCACACCACCACACCACCACACCACCACACCGCACCACACCACCACACCGTACCACACCACCACACCACCACACCACCACACCACCACACCGCACCACACCGCTCACACCACCACACCGAACCACACCACCACACCACCACACCGCACCACACCGCTCACACCACACCGCACCACACCACTACACCACACCACAATGCACCACACCGCACCACACCACACCGCACCGCACCACACCACACCACCACACCGTACCACACCACTCACACCACCACACCACACCGTACCACACCACCACACCACACCGTACCACACCACTCACACCACCACACCGTACCACACCGTACCACACCACTCACACCACCACACCACACCACACCCTACCACACCGTACCACACCGCACCACACCGTACCACACCGTACCACACCACACCGTACCACACCACACCGTACCACACCACACCACACCGCACCACACCGCACAACACCACACCGCACCACACCGTACCACACCACACACCACCACCCCGCACCACACCACACCACACCGCACCACACCACACCACACCGCACCACACCACACCGCACCGCACCACACCACACCACACCGCACCGCTCACCCGGCACTCACCGAGAAACGCCGCGCAGACGACGACGATGATCACGAGGGAGACCCCGGGGTGAGGACGACGACGATGACGAGGTGAAGGAGGAGGATTTGAGCCCATTTCTAAACAGAGATGGAGACGAATCTGGGGATGGCTTCCCTGGTCCGCGTGCCCTTGACTATAGATCCTCTGTGTGAGTCTGTGGGTCTCTATGTGAGTCTATGGGTCTCTATGTGAGTCTATGCGTCTGTGTGAGTGTATGGGTCTCTATGTGTGAGTCTATGCGTCTCTGCTGTGTGAGTCTATGGGTCTCTGCTGTGTGAGTCTATGGGTCTCTGTGTGAGTCTATGGGTCTGTGTGAGTCTATGTGTCTCTGTGTGAGTCTATGGGTCTCTGTGTGAGTCTATGGGTCTCTGTGTGAGTCTATGGGTCTGTGTGAGTCTATGGGTCTCTGTGTGAATCTATGCGTCTCTGCTGTGTGAGTCTATGTGGCTCTGTGTGAGTCTATGGGTCTAAACCCGTCGCTCTTCGTCTCCACGCGTGTACGCACGTAAACGCCGTCTGTGTGTGCGGCTCTTAAATGGTCCGTCTCTGTGTCTCTGCGTCTCTGTGTCTCTGCGTCTCTGTGTCTCTGCGTCTCTGCGTCTCTGCGTCTCTGTGTCTCCCGTGTCTCTGTGTCTCTGCGTCTCCCGTGTCTCTGCGTCTCTGTGTCTCTGCGTCTCTGCGTCTCCCGTGTCTCTGCGGCTGCGCGTGTTTACGACCGCGTCTCTGGGTCTATCCGCGTCTTCTCTGTCGCTTGCGTTCGTCAACCCCCCGTGATCTCAGCGTCCCTCCGTCCTCACCCTGTTGTCTCTGTCGTGTCTCTGTCGTGTCTCTCTCTCTCTGTTGTGTCTCTGTCTCTCTCTGTCTCTGTCTCTCTCTCTGTCGTGTCTCTCTCTCTCTATATCGTCTCTCTCTCTCTCGACGCTCTCAGCCCGCGCGCTCTCTCTCTCCCTGCTCTCTCTGAACGCTCCAGGGAGGTTGGTGGGAGAGAGCGCGTGCGATTGGAGGCACAATGCGAGCGTGTGCGCACACACACACACTATATATATCGGGGAGCGGTGGTGCAGCGGTTAGCGCTACGCTGCGCTACGAACCCGGCGGCCCGAGTTCGATTCCCGCTCACGTCCACCAACACCGCCATTGACGATGATCTGAACCGGTCCTGGGCATCGCCTAGGTCGACTCAGCCTCAAATGAGTATCCGGTGCAGTGTGTACACATCTCCACTCGGGATACAAAGGCGGCCGGGCGTGGCGCTGGCCACCCACCCCCTCGTGTGCTGTTCCGGCCTTCATCGACAGGTGCTCCTCGCTAACGGCACTTGTCACAAAAGCGAGGTTCTTAAATCAGCAGCGGTACCCCCCTCCCACCCCCAGACATGCCTCTGTCCGCTCAACAATGTAAATGTGATCAAGCGTGGGTAACTCCCACCCCTTGCTAGACTCGTGAGGAGGCTGCGTGGAAGAAAGGGCGCGTGTCATCTCGATGGGCCTCCAAGGGGATCTCCAGAAAGAGCAGCCCCTCGTGGATGGTTCCTTCCGCCGGCAGTGGCGCAGAGCGCGCAATTGCAGGGCTGTGCCTTTAGCCTCTTGTTGTTGTTGTTGTTGCTGCTGCTGTTACATTCCTGTGTGGGTGTTGTTTATATATTGTCATGCGATACGAACTACAGGGCCAAAATGACCAAATATTTTTTGAGTCTGGGCAGAGATAAGCGGGGTAATTCATTGGGCGCAGAGCTGCTGCTGCTGCTGCTGCTGCCGCCGCCGGCGATAAACGAATCCCGTGAGGACCGATTCCCAATGAACACGGCCTGAGTTCACTCCCAACATGCGAATGTTCAAATGGGACCAATTCGGACGAAAACAAAAGCCAAACAAACGTATACCCGTCAAGTCACTAGAATTTTTTTTTTAAAAATGTGATAATATTAACAATTATCCTCAAATTTTAAGATCCTACGTTTGAAGGTCATCCAAAGATGTTATTTATCGGGAGCTTGGCGATTCCCCACCATGCCAGAGCATCTCAAAGCGCCGCAAAGCATCGCGTCACGAGCGTTCGAAGGGCACCCCCCTCAACCAGTGGCAGCTGTTCCTGTGCCGAACAAAGCAACCCGGCGCCCCCAAGCGGGCATGGATGCCTGCCAGTAATAGTGGCGTGGTGGTGATTGCTGCTGTTGCTGCTGTTTGCAATTGGCATTAAAATGTGGAACACGTGCTAAGCTTGGTCGACGATCCCGACTCACAATGGACCAATCATTTTCAAATAGCAGCGCTGGATTGTTGCAACAACGAAATGCAAAGCACCCCCGCCCCCCACCCTGTATAGCCTTAACAGACTGTTGGGGCAAGTGGTTTTAGCGAGCGCCTGTGAAGGCCGGCACGGTGGCACACGAGAGGGTTGTCAAGCACCACGCCCGGCCGCCTTTGTCTCTCGACTAGCGATGTTTACACACCGAACCAGGTGCTACTAATTTAAGGCTGAGTCTAAACTAAACTTTTATTTTTTATTTTACCAGGTAAGGTCCACTGAGCTACTATACGGCTTTTTTGTTTGTTTCAGGAGCGACCTGGCCACGAATGAAAGCTCTACGAAGCGGCTTATCACGTGAAAATGTATAACAGCCAAACACTCTAAACGCGTGCTGATTCTAAATGTGGAGGTAAAAACCTGAGGACCGTGGGAAAAAAAATCCAAGTGACCACAGGGAGAGAGACACAAACTCAAAATATACAGCAGCAGCAGGCGTCAGGGTCGGGATCGAACTCACGACCTCCTGTATACCAGGCGAGGTAGTTAACATCTCCTAGCCACCGCAGCGCCGCCCATCGGTGCATCGATCACTAAAATTCCGCTGGGAACGATCACCGGTTAGTAACGTGTGCAAACAGTTATCATGGCGAAATGTTAACTACCTCGCCTGGTATACAGGAGGTCATGGGTTCGATCCCGACCCTGACGCCTGCTGCTGTATATTTGGAGTTTGCGTGTCTCTCTCTCATCATCATCACGGTGGCTAGGAGATGTTAACTACCTCGCCTGGTATACAGGAGGTCGTGGGTTCGATCCCGACCCTGACGCCTGCTGCTGTATATTTGGAGTTTGCGTGTCTCTCTCTCATCATCATCACGGTGGCTAGGAGATGTTAACTACCTCGCCTGGTGTACAGGAGGTCGTGGGTTCGATCTCGACCCTGACGCCTGCTGCTGTTTATTTGGAGTTTGCGTGTCTCTCTCTCATCATCATCACGGTGGTGATAAGCCACTTGTGTTGAGCTATCATTTGTGATAGCCAGGTTAGTCGCTTCTGAAAAAGAGCGAACGTAGTAGGGCCTTACGTGGTAAAATGAAAAAAAAAAGTTGAGTTTGTGCGTTTAATGAAAAACCCACGAGTCCACGGACTGAGCTTGCAAAACGCTCTCCATCATGTGCAATGTTGGGTACTGCGCATGCAGCCTGCGACAATTCCCTGACACTGTGAACAGGTGACGATGGTCATTGCTTCTTTTGTCTAAGACACCTATGCCGAGCCGTAAAACCTCGGGTTTTTATTTTTTGTATGTTTTCGGCCAATTTATGACAAGTAATAATTATTACTTATTATACGCGCGTCGTAGGAGAACCGGAGCACCCGGAGTAAAAAACCACGTGCGCGAGGGGGCAACGCTCTATCCCCGTACAGATGTAAACGAAACAGTGACGAGTCCACTCTCTGTGCCGTCCTCTCCTGGAGAGCCAGGGCAGTGCGGCGGCACCTCCACGGCCACCCACAGGGTAGAAGGGAGTTTCACAACGACATCATCTGTGTGCCTGGTGATTCACCAACACTCCATGCTGCTGCTACTGCTGCTGCTGCACGTGGCTATTGTGACGCAGCGCTATGGAGGCGGCTGCTGCTGCTGCAGCGTGGCCACCACCAGCGCCCGCCTATAGGGGAGGAGTGCGATGCTTATGTCGATTCGAATCATTAACGATGGAGAATGCGAATTGTCCTCACATTTGTAATGAGTGGCTCCGACACGGTAAGTAACGTTACGTTGTTTATTAATAAATCTTCGGTACAGCTTGGTTTTCTCTCTCTCTACGGATGTTTGAACCGCGCTGGGGCGGCTTTGCTGCCCCGCGCCACGTGGCGCTCACCCCGCTCACTAACGCGCCGCTGGCTGACGGCGCGCCAGGGAGCGGCCGGAGGTCGAACCACCACGTGGCAGGTGGAGTTGGCGGGGCAGCAGCTACGGGGAACTCATCTCGATCTTCACACACAGACCCCGCACGTTCCTGCTGCCCCCGGCTTATATTCGCTCCCCGGAGGCTAAGCCCCGCCTCTGGCCACGCCCCTCCTGGAACCTTCGGGAACGTTCCAGAGGCTTCCCTGGTGAATTCAGCCCCATTACATTAACCCCAGGTATAAACCCTACCATAGGTAGACCACAGCTGTATAAACAATGTACGCCCCGCATAAGACAGGAGATGGCGCTCTTATGACACATTTCATGCGCAAGTGTCACGGTGGGGAGAGCCGATCCACATTCCAGCTCACGGAGACCCCGATGATGAACCCCACCAGACGGCGGCTCTGTGTTAAAGTAACAGAAAAACGATTCGTTATAATTCAGCAGGTAAGGCCCGACTGCGCTATTCTTCGCACTTTTTCAGAGGCGACTTGACCAACAAATGACAGCTCAACGAAGTGGCTTATCGTCACGTGCACATGTGCAGCAGTGACATACCCTGAACGCACGTTGATTCTAAATGTGGGTGGGGTATGGGGGGTGGGATAAAAATCGGAGGATAAAAGTTAATGCGACCACGGCCAGAGAGACACGCACACTCCAATATACAGGTGTTCAGGGTCGGGATCGAACCCACGACCTCCTGTATACCAGGCGAGGTAGTTAACATCTCCTAGCCACCGTGATGATGAGAGAGAGACACGCAAACTCCACTATACAGGTGTTCAGGGTCGGGATCAAACCCACGACCTCCTGTACACCAGGCGAGGTAGCTGACATCTCCTAGCCACCGCAGCGACACGCGTGGTTCTGTCTGCGTTGTTGCAGTCTGTGCTCCTTGGTTGCCTGCACAGTCAAGCAGAGTCAGGCGTGTTCAACGCTTGCCACTGAGTTGCTAGGAGCTATTGGCAAGAGCACTCCCTATAAACTACGGAGAACCATTCAACACAGACATCAATACCTGACGCTCTGCATTGCGGTGGAGTCCGCTATTCGTTGTGGAGGGCGCCACGGTGGCTAGAAGATGTTAACTACCTTG